CGGTGATCTAGCCATAGGTATGCTTGATTTGTGGAATTCCACCTTGCACCCGGCATCGTAATAAAGAATGCCTGCTTTCTAAAACTCCTAAATTGAGTCTTAGAGAGTTCATCATCTGCTGACTTATGGTAGCACTAGGAGACAGGCTGGTCTACCATGATTCAACTAGGTAAGTAAAATGCAGGGTTTAGTACTGGTCTAGAACTCCTTTTTACCACCAGGGAGACAGTGTATCCATACTGGATATCTGTGTGGTTTAGATTTTTATCTTCTTTCCCCACATTACTGAGGTATTAAACAATCTTTAGAGCATTTATTCTTTCAGCCACCCTGGAGAGTGAGGCTATCTCTATTCCCTTTATAGGTAACATCTCAGGTTCAAAGGCACTTTGTTTCTTGCCTGTAGGCAATAAGGAAATACTTGAAAGGACAAGAACAAAATAGGTAATTCAAGTAATAAACACCGCAGACAGTGATTTTCAACCTTTTCTAATAGGTATACCTTCAATTTTCTCTACAGAGATGCACATCTCTGTTTAGTGACTTTAAACTTAATGACAAGAGGCCTGTGTTTCCTAGTTACTGTTCACAGACTCTTTAGTTCGGGAAATCACAGGTTGAACACCTCTGGTCTAGAACTTCAACAGAGATTCTTCAGATGCAGGGTATCTGCTTTGGAAATTGCCCCTGGAGGGTACCTGTGGGCTTACCAGCAATCTACATCTTGTGAACTTGTCCCCAGCTGCTGAAGTAGGCTAGGTTTCAGCTTCGCTGAGCTTCCTAAGAGTTTTACCATCAGTCAGCCAACGAAAAAGCACTGCAAGCCAAAAGCATTAGTCTCACGGTCTCTGGAGGCTAGAATTTATGTATTTAATTACCTTCCACTTGTCCTCCACAGACTGCACGATCCCTCAGTACTGGGTGCCAGTCACAGCACTGATATACTGACTAATCAACCTCTGTGGTATCTGCCTCCTGGCTAGACATCAGTGAAAAATTCAGAGTGAATAATGTATCTGATAAATTGTTCCTCTTTTGCTGGTCATATATTGTGTACGGACAATCTCATTTTCTCAAAGGTGTGGTTATTCCTAACTATTTGCCAAATATATTCTGCAAATTAGTTTTGCTCTGTAGACTATTCCCAAGTAATTCTTCCTTGCGATTGTTAATACCCCAGCTGCGCTGTTTAATTTTGGTTTGGCATCACAACCCTAGTAAGAAATTGTCTGTCTTCCCTGGCTGGCAGCGGCTCCTCTCATTTGTGTGCAGTTTGTCACACGGCAACTCCCGAGGGCCATTTTCATATTCAGGACCCCAATGTGTTAAGCCACATACAAAGAGTGTGCTTTCACAGCACCCTGCGGTGAGCAGAACTGCCCTACAGTTAAAAGGATAATACCTCTGTCCCAAAGAGTTACAGATGACATGTCAGAAGGGGTTCAGCAACAAAAGCAGGGCGTCAGTGTGTACTTAGGGACACGGAGTGGTGAACGGAAGAAAGGGCCGTTAGCGACTGCAGCTGCATTTCCAGTGCTCTGTGCAAGCTGTGGTGGTTCCACCAACCATGTCCTCTGCCTACCCCTTGAAGGCAGAGATACTCAGAAAGAGATCCTCAAGCCCTGCTCGAGCACGTGGCCTCAGCACGGGGCCTGCAAACACGGTGGGACTCAGAAGTGTGTCTCGCATCAGGAGAGAAGATTCATTGCACTGAACCTCAGGCTGCCAGTGGGACACCTTGAGCTAGGAGCCCTGCGATTCCCTGGGGAGTCAGTGCGAGAGAGGGGCACTTCCAAGCAAGGATCCATGCCAGAGGTGGGACAACTTGCCTTCTCCAGGAATCCCATGTCCTGAAGAGGCCAACAATCGTAATGTGGGTGCTCAGAGCTATGGGGCATCAATCTCTCTACGAGTCTGCATCCTTTCCTCTTCCACATCCTTTCCTCTTCCACCTAACTGTTGCACATTTGGATCTAGAGGGTTTTGTGCGTACAATTTTTTTTCCTCTTACGAAACCAGTGTTAAATTTTATTTGACCATCAGTCAAATGCCTCTGCCTCTGAGTAAGCAATTCTGTGCAACCTGGGAGCCCTAAGCACACAGCTTTTAAACTAATAAACCTTGTAAGTCAAGTATTTACTAGAAATGTTTGTTAGAAACAGTCACTTGCAAGTACTTAACAAGTATACTCTAAGGGCACAATGTCTTTTGTCCCCTTTAGAAGAACAGCTGAAGGACTAATTCCCCAAAACATAAGATTTCTCGGATATATCTTTCAAAACATTATCACTAGGATGAGGCTAATGAGATACTTATATGGAAGAAGTGAGACTCGTTGGAATTAAAAAAAAAAAGTAGTTAGCAAGTAGGACAATACTCACTTTAAATACTGAAGTTGTTGATTAAAATAAATGAGTGCTTTTCATGGGATCAAAGCACATGATTATGGAAAAATTAGCAGATTTTAATTTGTATGGAACAGGAAGATCTGTTTATATAAAGTGACCACTGCAAGAGCTAAACCCTTGAAATGCTGTCAAAAACATACAGCAGGGTAAGTAAAGCTAGACTTAAACAGCCAGCACTCTGGACATAATTTAAAGTAATATTTGCACTAAGCTGATAATGCCAGGCTTTATATTGCAAAACAGCACTGGTTTGTATTCAGACAAACTCATGGGCCAACAAGGCCTGCCTGTGTCCCAAACAAAATGCACTACTGGAACCGCCAGCAATCTAATTGTTATATTGCAAAACAGCACTGGTTTGTATTCAGACAAACTCATGGGCCAACAAGGCCTGCCTGTGTCCCAAACAAAATGCACTACTGGAACCGCCAGCAATCTCATTGCCAAGCTCAGAAACAAAGTAGAACACTGCAAAACAGTGGTTCTAAATTAATTTTGAGGGGTTGAGAACATTTCTGGGATTGATAAAACAGGCTGCTTTCTCATGACTCATTTTTGCCTGAACTATTGCAGTTTCCATGCGTCTTAGTCACCCTCCCACTGTGCGTGCTCGCCAGGCACTGTGGGTTAAAGAGCAAGATCGCATCTCTGCTTTCAATTGCAAAGACCCCTCCCAGCAGCCGCTGGCGCACAAGCGCGCTTCCGGTCCTGTAAAGAGACCAGCACTGCCACAACTCCAGTGCTCTGCGTAGCCCAGGATTTCACAACAGGGATGAAGATTCCTCCGAGATGAAGCAGCACTGCCTTCTTAGTAGTCTTTTTAGCCTGACTGGGGACTGAAGTCCTATGGTTTATAAACCTAAAGGGGATTTGAACCTCCTCCTACTGAGATTAATCAAAACCAAAACCAAGAGTAAAGTGGCAGCAGGACCCAGCAGAGAGCCATGTTTGTCAGCAGTCCACCTCCAGTGAGGAGGACCAGAGAGTTATTTAAAGCTGTGATCACAGATAATTACCGTGCTGAGCAGCGAGAGTAAAGCCGATGCTTATTCTTCACGCTCTTACATCATCCACTTTTAATTACCTTTTAGAAATAGAATACTACAACCTAGTAGTTGTATTTTGGTTTGTAGAATACTACAAACCAAAGCTCTTTTTTTTCCTGTGGACATCCAAAAAGATGAGGCAGCTCAGCTCTGTTTAGACCGCACTGGGACGTCAGGGCCTACTTCTTCTCAGCAACTTTGAAAATCCCACCCTAAATATTACGGGACAGATCTCTGGGGCTGCCGGTTGCCCGAGAGCTAACGCAGAGATACATTCAGCTGAGGATTTGCACACACAGACTGGCATATTTGGCAAACATTTCCTGACAAATGTGTCATAGCACTAACGATTCTCAAACACCTGAAATAAGGAAAAGGTGTAAAGACATAGATTTTCATAACCGAGTAATATATAATTCTTCTACAAGGAGTAATATACATCATGGCACAAACTTAACTTTGATCTGAAAGAAATAATAAACTTTCCTAAGTAGTCTCCAATGCCATCTTTTAAAGATATCACAAACACTTGTTATATTTTAAAGGCATTTCATGTCACTGAAATTTTCCCCAGATATTTCCTTTGAATTCATAGATCAGGGCTCAGCAGGTACCTTGCTAAAGGTTGACTCAGAAAACAGGAGAAGCAGGTTATCACCTTCCTGGAGGAAGATGCATTCGACTGTGATAGGGGACCACTGCTAAACCACAACACAACAGAGCCTCCAATAATCAGACATTTTGTGCGAAGGGCTCAATGAGCACAATTTAAGCGACAACGCTAGATGCAAATTATACTCCCTAATTAAAAAAAAAAAATTGAATTTCTTTAATCTCTTTTTAACATACTGCATACACCCAGATCACATTTCAACAGTTGTATATGGGACCTTAAACCCACACTACTTAACGAACTTCAGGGAAAGGATCTCAGCCGTCCCAATTTGGTGAACATTTGGGGGCTGTAAAAGCTGATATCATGTCTTGAGTGTCAGCAACACTTCCAACAGATACTCTATCAATCAACTTCACTGGCTGCCCCTTATCTCCAACCCTTGCGGTGAGCACCGTGGCAAGGATATTTTCACTTCTTTTTTCCTGCCTTACATGAAGGAGTTCCCCATCCTGGCCTCCTGCTCACAAAACAGTTTATCAGGCCTTATTTCGTTGCACAGGGCCCTCGCCCTTGGATCCTCCCACCCTCCCCACCACCACCTTGCAGCACTCGCACCAAGCAGGAGGCGAGGCGTGGGCCTTCTCTGGAGACAAGCGCGCGAATGGGCTGGTCTTTGTGCGTGTCACCAGCAACCAGCCGGGTGCTGCCGGAGCAGCCACTTATTTCTACCTCCTTTTCATTATAATTCAAATCCTTGAAATTTCAGGGAACTTAATATCTTTGACGCTTCTAACTCTCTGGCAGATTTAATGGAAAGTGGAAAATGAGTTTAAAAAGTTATTAGGAGCCAAAAGATACAGACACGCCACAGGGTGATGACCATCTCACTTCCTTATGAAATAAAAGTAACAAACCTTGCAAAAACCTTACCAAAATTGTGGGAATTCTGGAAAAAAGGGCAGGTAAAAGTCTGTGGCGATTTCAAAGTCCCCCGATGGGTTTCCAGCTCAGCAAGTGCAATCCAGCCTGCCCTCCGCTGGGCGTTATGACAGTGGTTCGGCACGGCTGGCAGCACGAGCAAGGCTGGCGCAAAGAGAAACTGGCGGCTTCCTCCTTACTCATGTTGGGGGCAGCACAGGATTTCCTCTCTGCCTCCTACCGCGTGATAGGAGCAAAAGAGGGGATGACAATCTAAAGACGTATCAGACCAGAAAAAAGGAAAAGAAAAAAAAAAAAAAAAAGAGAGAAAGAAAACCAGCGCGGCATGCTGCCACTGTTTGAAACGTAGGTAAGATTTAAATAGCAATAATCCCCCGAAACTATCTAGTTCAGGTCATCAACTAACAAGCTGGTTAGTTCCTGTAAGGCTTAATGCTTGAAATTATTATGCCTGACAGATGTTTGCTGAACAGGAATTAGTCCAGAATACGCAGCACGAAAACCAGCAAGAAGCAAAAGTGCAGACAGGTACATGTCAGAGCTGAGATTCTCAGAAAGCATTAGCTCAACCTCTAACACAATAATAATTTTCCTTTCTACCCACTTTATCTTCTGCTTCTTTTTTACTCTTGGCTCCCTAGCAGGAGATTCCCTTCACGGACTGACACACTAATCTAGATTCCGCTCTCAGTTACAGCTGAGCAATGTGAAGAAGAGGTTAGCCGGTATTTTCAGGCACTACCACTGCTGCACAATTTGGCTGAATGGAATACCCTTTGTAGGCGTTAGCTCTCTCTCGTGATGGAGCACAGGATGAAGTCTCCGTTCCTGATTCCTCAAAACTATTGGAAAATATAAAGCAGCATTTTCCCCTCAATTAATTATGATCCCTCTGGTTACACCTGCTGTTAGACATTCAATGACATGAAACCCACTGGTTTGGTCTACTCACCCGCTGCTGTTTGCATCATCCTAATGGTGTAAATCTAGTTAATATACTCCAGGACCTAGCCAGATCCCACTTACGCTCAAGCTAGTGCAAATCCAAAGCAAGTCTATATGGCCACCAAATCTCTCTAGTTTTACAGTTGCTGTGTATCATAATTTGTACTACACTAAGCAGCATTTCCAGGATTAGAATAAAAGTAAGGAGGAAAGATAGAGAAATCAGTGAAAACAAAATGGGGGGAAAAAAGTTGGCTCAAATTCTACTTCCAAATTAGTTACAGATACAAACGGGGATAAAACTATGAACCTCTCCACCCATTGCAGGGGCAGAATCAGGCAACACAAGTGAACAGCATGGGGAAAAACTGAAGAGAGGAACAAAGATGGGATGAAAATTTAGGTGGAAGAACAACAATGGGATAGAAACTGTCGATCAAGCTAACCCTGTGAAGTTACTAATACAGAGGATTAACTGAAGACCAGTAGCCTTAGCTAGGCTGTGATCCCCATGGGCAATGGTGACCCCAATGTAGCCAACCAAACACGGAATTTTGCCACCAATGGTGAAAAAAAACAAGGGACGGAAGAGGAGGAACATCTTAGGGAGTTAGCAACGCTGTCAGTACCTCTAGAGAGGGAACAGATACACCAGCTGTTTTCCAACTGTCTTGTTAGCCTTTTGCTAACATGAATAATCCTTAGAAATGATAAGAACATTTCAAAACACATCAGCCTGCAGACTAAAATATATGATACCTGGGGGAATGCAAACTGGAGAGCAGTCCATTTATCTGAAAGTCATATCAGGGTTGATTTAGGATTGTGTTGCTGTTTGAACGGCGGAGTTTAAAATGCCTATAAATGAATCCTTTCACACGCTTTTCCCGTTCTCTCTCTCCTGTGGTAAATCCCATAGTCACTGTAAATTTGCCATAGTCCTTTTAAAAAAACTGAAACTACTAGTACTGAGGAAGCAGCGCATATACGGCTAACATCAGCTACACACAGCAGCTTCTAAAACACACTAAGAAGTGGTCTCTTCGGATGGCTAACCTAGAAAGCAAAGGAACCCAGCAGCTACCCTGGTGAGTACAGACAACCACAACCTGGAGGATCAAACTAACAGCCAGAAATGCAGCATTCCCCATAAAACTTTCAGTAAGTTAGTATCAAAACATATTTTAAATTTATAAATCCTAGATTACCACTTGAGCCTAATTCCCTTTAGACCAAATTTAATTTTACATTTTTCCATATTTTAAAAGGAAACTGCAGTTTCAGCAAAATATTCCAAATGTTCCCACATCTGACCTGTCATTCCCTTCCTTCCCATACAAAGAACACTATTTTCAGTTTCAGTGAGGGATGGAACAATATTTTTCCCACCCTTCAGGCCAACTATCATTTCTGTTGTGGAAGTGGAAAGCATTTGAATGGCCCCTTCTTTAGCCTGACATCTCTATGTTCAAATATGGATTCAATTACATCTGTAAGAAAACCAGTTGGATGATCTTAGATTACCTGACAGTCTGTAGGCACTGCAAAGGAAACATATTTCTGCAAACCCAGTGCAGCCCATGGAGTTAAATGACTACATTGCCCCACCGATTAATCTACTGTACTTAAGTGGTACTCCGGACAGACTGGCCTCATTGCCCACTAATCGTCTGCATCTTTGAAGAGCCAGTGAGGTACCAGACCGCTAACTGTTTAGGAGACAGAAATTGTCATTCCAGTAGGGTTACAAGAGTTATAAATTATAAAGCATCATCTGAGTTCTGACAAAGAGCTATGAAACCCCTCAGATAGGAAACAGAGCAGCAGTATAAAAAATTTTTTTCCAAGACAACCATTACGACTGTGTTATATATTCTTACTACTCTGCAGAGGCTCAGGTCCTAGATGTGAACCAGCACTCCACCATGCTGCAGGTAGCACGTGTAGAGCAGTGGCAGCATCCCCAATTCACCAAGGTTACTGCTGAGGCAGAAGAGAAGCAGCAGAATATGGATAACAGAGAGAGGGGGAACACACAGGAGCAACAACACAGTATTAGTCAGCGTGAAAAGCCACAGGCAGAGCAGCAGCTGCCTAACGACAGTCAAATTTCCATAGACATTGCAGCAAAGGAGTTTTAAGGAGGAATCTGAGGGATGGTCATGACATGGATTTGGGAAGGACTACGTGTGAGGACAAGACTGGGAGAAAAAGCGTGAAAGTGCTCAGGTGAGTGTCTACCAAACATTAGCAGAGGTTGGTATCATAGGCTGGCCAGAGGTGGAAGCTGCTTTCTCAGTAACAAATGAAATGCAGCACGGGGATGTAGGGGAATCAAAATTTCCATCTTCTGGGAAAGACTGCATTTCCAACTATATTTTAATTCTGAATTAGAATAATGTTGGTATAAAAGGTCTCTCCATGCAATTGCTACTCCCCAAAGAATCTGGTTTGGAAATGCTGTGAAAGGATTTTTCGGAAAAGGAACACCCACACCAAGCATTCAAGTTGTCCTAAGTACTGGGCTTGGAGGTACTGGTGGGGGTAGCACAGACAGGCATCAAGTTCTTGGTCTCTCTGGTACAATTTCACTCTGTGTAAATAATGAATCATTATGCAGAACCTAATCGTTCTGCATAATGCATAGGCAGAGCCTGATGATTCAGGTGTCCCACCTGCAAGCTGCGCATCTAAAGGATCAGGCTAAGGCAGTCATTATGTTCTGTCCCATTCAATAAGAAAAAAAAAGTATTTTGACTTTACAAGTTAGCATTAAAAAAAAAAAGAAAGAAAAAAACCAAAAAAACCCCACACACAAAACCAAACTCTGAAAAATGTCAGATCTGATTTGAGCAAGACCAAAAGAAACAAGGTGTGAGTTAGCTGCTGGTATACTTGCTTAACTGAAAAAAAAAATCTATTTACAAATCCTCAAACTAAGGTGTAACCTGCTAGTAGCAATAACCTAAAAGTGCTTCACAAATACCAGAGTGATAGACAACACAGAAAGGGCGCACTATAGAAAACAATTACACGTGGAGCACTAAAACAGCCTGTTAACATCCAGGTAAATTCCTCAGCACTGACTAACTACAACTATTCAACACTAGCAGAGCTTTAAAAAAACCAAAACAAAACAAACGCCGTGACATATAAAGCATTGGGATTAAATGTGTTCATGCAATTACTTACAGAAGTGCTTCTTATAAACACCTTCAGCTCTTTGATCAGACAGCAAATGCTACTTCGCTCTGCAGACCAGCATGACAGTACTAGCCCTCCTCAACATTACCTATTCTCACAATAAAAAACAGCTGGACAACCAAACAGCCGAGGTGAGAAACAAAGTAATGCTGAAGGCAAGAATATCTTTAGGGTTGCTGGTAGCCCCATCCTAAGCACCCCGAGGTAAACGCAATCAGGTGGTTAAGGTTTACAAGCATCACGACAAGGGATGCCTCCAAGGGAGTGTCTGAAGAAAGGGTATTTTGCAAATGGACAGATGTTCCTACCCATCTTCTACAGCACTGGAGAAGGTACATGGTGTTGCAGGCAAAACAGCAAGGTCTAGGGTGATGGGCGGTGATGAAAACTAGCCGTACTGTGGACAGCTGGAGGTGGCACAGCTATCATTGCCTCACACAACCTAGGGTGCAGGCAGCTGCCAGGAAATGCCAGGAACATGCTCCTGCTCCCTCACCTCCTTGCAGTAACCCCTCTCACTGCTTAACCATCATTCTCTTTCTTCTTTGTCTCCCTAATTATTATTTGATTCCACACTTACACCTGAGCTTCTCTCAGGGCAGGGAACAATGGTTTTGGGGATGTCCATAATGGGCCATTTTTCAGACAAAGACCTTTAGTTCTGAACCAAGGGCTCGGTGCCAATGGCACTGTCTTCCAACTGAAGTTCTTCAGAGCAGAAGCAGTCATAATGGGTCGGATTTGAGAAAATCTGGGTGAAGACGTTAATTCTACACTGAAAGTGCCTTAAAAAAATTAAGTAGTAACTAGGGAACAAGGATGCAAGGAGAGGGGGGAAAAGTTCTACAACACAGGGATTTAAAGCTTGTATGTTAAAAAAAAAATAAAAAAATAACAGAGAGGGTTGAAATTTTTTCCCTTCTTTTAGGTTGAAGGCATTTTCTGTAGATTGTTTTCTCACACCAGCAATATGCACCCACTGACAGAA